CCCCAGCTCCTATTCCCTCTTTCCAGGAAGCCTCCTCTTCACCTTGACCCCACCGCCCACCCCTGACATTCCCTCGGGCCTTCCGGTGTGTGCACCTAACATCCTGGGCTTATTTCTCTAATGGCACCTACTGAGGCAGCAGCTCTGTCTCTTGCTAGACAGCACCTTGATCATTTCTGTATCTCTAGCTCCTAGCCCAGCACCATGTGCAAAGCCAGCCCTCAGCACGCAACTCATGCTCTTGCATTGCCCCTGGAAGGCCCTTCTGATTCAAAACAACAGTCTATGAGCAAGCAGGCTGAGACTAAGCACTCAGTTACCCACCCCTATCAAGGGGGTATGGAGAGCGGCTGGACTTCCAATGGCCCAGGTGGGGCAGTGGAGAGATCCACAGAACTGGTTCCCCCAACGACCCATGAGGGATCTCACTGGTAGGTCCAATCCAGCTGCCACAGCTACAACCTCCACATCTAACTCCATCCTCTCCCTCCCAGGGTGGAGAGGCTCCAGCTGTATGGGATCACTTGCCTTTCTTGGGCTTGATAGGGACTGGGGCAGCTGTTGAACAGGTGACTCTGGAAGTGCCAGCAGTGGACGTGGTAAGGGTCTGGGAGGTTGTTGAGGGTAGTGATGTTGCTGTGCTTCTCCCACTGTCTGTCTTCTGTGAGGGTACGATTGTTCCTGGGCAGGCAGGGAAAGAAGACTGGAGTGGGCTTTACAGAGAAAATAGCAGAGTTAAAGAGAGTCAGAGACATTAGGAGCTGGGAGAGACAGCTGGAAAACTGTCTGTCTTCTGGTTACACCCAAATCACTCCCTGCAGAAAGGCAGTTATCTCCTGGGGTAGAAGGGTTGATGAGCCTGTCACCCACCATACCCGCCACTGACTTCATCTACTTGTGGATCTGAACTCCAGCCTGGCAGTGCTAACTCACCTTCTCCTCGCAAGCACTCCTTGAGGCTGAACTGAGCCAATTGGGCCACTGTAAGAGGCTAAGAACCCGGAGTCCCCACCTACCTGATGTCTCAGTCTTCATGGCGGAGCTTAAGGATGTTGTGGATGGTGGAGAAGTGCTGGTAACAGACAGATGAGTGGGGTGACCTGTGAATACGGTGGTGGAGCTCCAGGTGACTGCAGGGCCAGGGGCTGATTGAGAGAATGAAGAATTACTGGCTGAAGTATAGAAACTCGATATGGTCTGAGCTGTGCCCACATTACTAGAAGAAGTAGAGTCAGAGACAGAATAGTCTGTGGATGGCGGTAGAGTAAGCAACGGACTCTTAGAATACTTATATGCTGAAGAAGTGTCAGGAGTGGTATTGATGGAAACGTAACTTGTCGGTGGAAACGGTGAAGTTGGTGTGGAACCAGCTACACTGTTATGATTACTTGTAGAAACCATATCTGTTGGCTTTGTAATAGGATGCATAGTAGAGGCTACTGTCTGAACAGCTGCAAGATGCTCAGAGGTCGGTGTGCTTGACTCACGCACTGAGGAAGTAGGGACTTGTGTGGTATTTGTGAAGGAGTTATTTTCAGAACCTACAGTGGGAATGACCCCAGCAGTTGTATTTTCATGGGTGAATGAGCCTGGGGTTGTTGGCAGAACTTCTCCAATTGTGGACAAAATTGTGGAAGGAGAACGAGAGGCTGCATGACTCAGGGTGTCTGCTGAAGCTGGTGAATTGATCATCTCTGATGTTGTAGGAGATGTGTCACTTCCAGGAGATGGGGAGAAATTTCTGTCTGCTGAGATATGTGCTGTCAATATTTCTGACGTTGTTGCAGGTGGGCGGCTCACCGTGGCTGGCGAAGAAGAGGTTGTTTCACCTGAAGAGGATGTCTCCTGGGGAGTGCCTTCTGTAAGAGTGGATCCCCGTGGGGGTGATGAGGGAGTGGACGCGGTCACATCTGTGATGGTGTTGGTTTGAGTTTCTCTGGTGGTTTCCACGCCCGGAGCCTGGTGGTCCTGAGAAGATGCTGATGTTTCGTCAGTAGAAGTGGTGGAAGAGAGGAAGGTTGATTGTTGCTCTAGTCCAGGTTTAACTGAGACTGTTGAGGCCACTGGAGTGATATTTCTCGTTACAGTTGCTGATGTGCCCATTGTGTTTTCTACAGTGGTGTCTGTTGAAGCTGGTGATGTCATCATGTCTGATGTTGTAGGAGATGTGTTGCTTCCAGTAGATGGGGAGAAATTTCTGTCTGTTGAGGTTGGTGTTGCCAACATTTCTGATGTTGTCGCAGGTGTGCGGCTCAGCCTGGCTGGGGAAGAAGTCATTGTTTGACCTGAAGAGGATGTCTCCTGGGGAGTGCCTTCTGTAAGAGTGGATCCCCGTGGGGATGATGAGGGAGTGGACGCGGTCACATCTGTGATGGTGTTGGTTTGAGTTTCTCTGGTGGTTTCCACGCCCTGAGCCTGGTGGTCCTGAGAAGATGCTGATGTTTCGTCAGTAGAAGTGGTGGAAGAGAGGAAGGTTGATTGTTGCTCTAGTCCAGGTTTAACTGAGACTGCTGAGGCCACTGGAGTGATATTTCTCCTTACAGTTGCTGGTGTGTCCATTGTGTTTTCTACAGTGGTGTCCGTTGAAGCTGGTGATGTCATCATCTCTGATGTTGTAGGAGATGTGTTATTTCCAGTAGATGGGGAGAAATTTCTGTCTGTTGGGGTTGGTGTTGCCAACATTTCTGATGTTGTCGCAGGTGTGCGGCTCAGCCTGGCTGGGGAAGAAGTGATTGTTTGACCTGAAGAGGATGTCTCCTGGGGAGTGCCTTCTGTAAGAGTGGATCCCCGTGGGGGTGATGAGGGAGTGGACGCGGTCACATCTGTGATGGTGTTGGTTTGAGTTTCTCTGGTGGTTTCCACGCCCTGAGCCTGGTGGTCCTGAGAAGATGCTGATGTTTCGTCAGTAGAAGTGGTGGAAGAGAGGAAGGTTGATTGTTGCTCTAGTCCAGGTTTAACTGAGACTGTTGAGGCCACTGGAGTGATATTTCTCCTTACAGTTGCTGATGTGTCCATTGTGTTTTCTACAGTGGTGTCTGTTGAAGCTGGTGATGTCATCATGTCTGATGTTGTAGGAGATGTGTTGCTTCCAGTAGATGGGGAGAAATTTCTGTCTGTTGAGGTTGGTGTTGCCAACATTTCTGATGTTGTCGCAGGTGTGCGGCTCAGCCTGGCTGGGGAAGAAGTGATTGTTTGACCTGAAGAGGATGTCTCCTGGGGAGTGCCTTCTGTAAGAGTGGATCCCCGTGGGGGTGATGAGGGAGTGGACGCGGTCACATCTGTGATGGTGTTGGTTTGAGTTTCTCTGGTGGTTTCCACGCCCTGAGCCTGGTGGTCCTGAGAAGATGCTGATGTTTCGTCAGTAGAAGTGGTGGAAGAGAGGAAGGTTGATTGTTGCTCTAGTCCAGGTTTAACTGAGACTGTTGAGGCCACTGGAGTGATATTTCTCCTTACAGTTGCTGATGTGTCCATTGTGTTTTCTACAGTGGTGTCTGTTGAAGCTGGTGATGTCATCATGTCTGATGTTGTAGGAGATGTGTTGCTTCCAGTAGATGGGGAGAAATTTCTGTCTGTTGAGGTTGGTGTTGCCAACATTTCTGATGTTGTCGCAGGTGTGCGGCTCAGCCTGGCTGGGGAAGAAGTGATTGTTTGACCTGAAGAGGATGTCTCCTGGGGAGTGCCTTCTGTAAGAGTGGATCCCCGTGGGGGTGATGAGGGAGTGGACGCGGTCACATCTGTGATGGTGTTGGTTTGAGTTTCTCTGGTGGTTTCCACGCCCTGAGCCTGGTGGTCCTGAGAAGATGCTGATGTTTCGTCCGTAGAAGTGGTGGAAGAGAGGAAGGTTGATTGTTGCTCTAGTCCAGGTTTAACTGAGACTGTTGAGGCCACTGGACTGATATTTCTCCTTACAGTTGCTGATGTGTCCATTGTGTTTTCCACAGTGGTGTCTGTTGAAGCTGGTGATGTCATCATGTCTGATGTTGTAGGAGATGTGTTGCTTCCAGTAGATGGGGAGAAATTTCTGTCTGTTGAGTTTGGTGTTGCCAACATTTCTGATGTTGTCGCAGGTGTACGGCTCAGCCTGTCTGGGGAAGAAGTGATTGTTTGACCTGCAGAGGATGTCTCCTGGGGAGTGCCTTCTGTAAGAGTGGATCCCCGTGGGGGTGATGAGGGAGTGGACGCGGTCACATCTGTGATGGTGTTGGTTTGAGTTTCTCTGGTGGTTTCCACGCCGTGAGCCTGGTGGTCCTGAGAAGATGCTGATGTTTCGTCAGTAGAAGTGGTGGAAGAGAGGAAGGTTGATTGTTGCTCTAGTCCAGGTTTAACTGAGACTGTTGAGGCCACTGGAGTGATATTTCTCCTTACAGTTGCTGATGTGTCCATTGTGTTTTCTACAGTGGTGTCTGTTGAAGCTGGTGATGTCATCATGTCTGATGTTGTAGGAGATGTGTTGCTTCCAGTAGATGGGGAGAAATTTCTGTCTGTTGAGGTTGGTGTTGCCAACATTTCTGATGTTGTCGCAGGTGTGCGGCTCAGCCTGGCTGGGGAAGAAGTGATTGTTTGACCTGAAGAGGATGTCTCCTGGGGAGTGCCTTCTGTAAGAGTGGATCCCCGTGGGGGTGATGAGGGAGTGGACGCGGTCACATCTGTGATGGTGTTGGTTTGAGTTTCTCTGGTGGTTTCCACGCCCTGAGCCTGGTGGTCCTGAGAAGATGCTGATGTTTCGTCAGTAGAAGTGGTGGAAGAGAGGAAGGTTGATTGTTGCTCTAGTCCAGGTTTAACTGAGACTGTTGAGGCCACTGGAGTGATATTTCTCCTTACAGTTGCTGATGTGTCCATTGTGTTTTCTACAGTGGTGTCTGTTGAAGCTGGTGATGTCATCATGTCTGATGTTGTAGGAGATGTGTTGCTTCCAGTAGATGGGGAGAAATTTCTGTCTGTTGAGGTTGGTGTTGCCAACATTTCTGATGTTGTCGCAGGTGTGCGGCTCAGCCTGGCTGGGGAAGAAGTGATTGTTTGACCTGAAGAGGATGTCTCCTGGGGAGTGCCTTCTGTAAGAGTGGATCCCCGTGGGGGTGATGAGGGAGTGGACGCGGTCACATCTGTGATGGTGTTGGTTTGAGTTTCTCTGGTGGTTTCCACGCCCTGAGCCTGGTGGTCCTGAGAAGATGCTGATGTTTCGTCAGTAGAAGTGGTGGAAGAGAAGAAGGTTGATTGTTGCTCTAGTCCAGGTTTAACTGAGACTGTTGAGGCCACTGGACTGATATTTCTCCTTACAGTTGCTGGTGTGTCCATTGTGTTTTCTACAGTGGTGTCTGTTGAAGCTGGTGATGTCATCATGTCTGATGTTGTAGGAGATGTGTTGCTTCCAGTAGATGGGGAGAAATTTCTGTCTGTTGAGGTTGGTGTTGCCAACATTTCTGATGCTGTCGCAGGTGTGCGGCTCAGCCTGGCTGGGGAAGAAGTGATTGTTTGACCTGAAGAGAATGTCTCCTGGGGAGTGCCTTCTGTAAGAGTGGATCCCCGTGCGGGTGATGAGGGAGTGGACGCGGTCACATCTGTGATGGTGTTGGTTTGAGTTTCTCTGGTGGTTTCCACGCCCTGAGCCTGGTGGTCCTGAGAAGATGCTGATGTTTCGTCAGTAGAAGTGGTGGAAGAGAGGAAGGTTGATTGTTGCTCTAGTCCAGGTTTAACTGAGACTGTTGAGGCCACTGGAGTGATATTTCTCCTTACAGTTGCTGGTGTGTCCATTGTGTTTTCTACAGTGGTGTCTGTTGAAGCTGGTGATGTCATCATGTCTGATGTTGTAGGAGATGTGTTGCTTCCAGTAGATGGGGAGAAATTTCTGTCTGTTGAGGTTGGTGTTGCCAACATTTCTGATGTTGTCGCAGGTGTGTGGCTCAGCCTGGCTGGGGAAGAAGTGATTGTTTGACCTGAAGAGGATGTCTCCTGGGGAGTGCCTTCTGTAAGAGTGGATCCCCGTGGGGGTGATGAGGGAGTGGACGTGGTCGCATCTGTGATGGTGTTGGTTTGAGTTTCTCTGGTGGTTTCCACGCCCTGAGCCTGGTGGTCCTGAGAAGATGCTGATGTTTCGTCCGTAGAAGTGGTGGAAGAGAGGAAGGTTGATTGTTGCTCTAGTCCAGGTTTAACTGAGACTGTTGAGGCCACTGGAGTGATATTTCTCCTTACAGTTGCTGGTGTGTCCATTGTGTTTTCTACAGTGGTGTCTGTTAAAGCTGGTGATGTCATCATCTCTGATGTGGTAGGAGATGTGTTGCTTCCAGTAGATGGGGAGAAATTTCTGTCTGTTGAGGTT